AATAATATAAAACGTTTGATAGATTTCTAACATTTAAAAATAATTTTAAACACACTTAAAATGACATGAATCTTCAACAGTACAATAATTCTTTCATTAACTAGATCCTACATATAAAATTCGTTTTGATTTTATGTTTTTGAACATTTTTTATATTTCTCAGAAATAGTTTCCCTACATATTTATCGTTATTCAAGACTTCTGTAAATCTTACTCTTTTATCTACAAAATATACAATACGTGGTATTTTTCTCCTGCGAAAAATATGCTAGATTTTAGATCTATTGTTTTTGTAAAACACTGAATATTTTAAAATTTTAGGAAAGCTAAAATTATTGAGAACGTCACTCGATGTTTCTCTTTGACTCGATCTACCCTTCATATAAACAAAAGGATTATTTAGTGTCCAGCTTTATTTGTCATCCAATGTTCAAAAACGCTGTATTTCTTAAAAATCATGTGTGTTAATTTTCATAGAAGAAAAAAAGTCAATACTATATTGAAATCCGTTCATAGTCGCCTTCTATTTTTCATAGTGCTTCATAGTACCGCGTAGTGACGTAATCAAGGGCCAAATAAAGCTTGACTATAAATATGTTAGTGTTCATCTTTAGCTGTTCTATAGAAATTAGAAACATTCTCCTGTCGCTATAGCTCCTGTCGAAGTTTCTAATTTCTGTAGAACAGCACGGATGAACACTAACATATACATGTAACATTTTGTGTCTACAAAAAAACCACTTATTGTCGCTTATTGAACACTCCAATTCAAACTTTCTCTAAATAATATCAAATCACTGCCGGTATTTCTGGACATTTTGTTGAATTGCGAGACGGAAAGTTAAACATGTATTTACGAGCTTAAATTGAATAGGCCTACGTTTGATTGCTTAAACTAGAAAGCATAATATTATATTCTTATAATTTACATTTTCCCCGAACGCGAGTCTCCCGTTAGCGACGGAGTTAGTTAAAGTAGACACTGTGGTAACAAGCAAACAAATGCTGAACGTATAGTGAATCAGTTTTCTAAATATTTTTTGTCAGATTTGCATGATAATGTAGTATTTGTTGGCGTTTTCTTGTGAAAGTTGAAACCTACGGAAAGTTTTAGCGCACGAACATCGCACCCGAAATAAGAAGGGTAACATATTTTTGTATCCCATCGAACGTGGTCACTTTATTAATTTTTGAATAGACGTGTTGCACTCTAATGGACAGAATTCAGACAACTTCAGAATTATTTAAATTAAACATTGATTAGCGAAGAACCATTTTTATAGTCTTCTAGCTGGTATTCCCGCTCCCCTACGACGCGTTGCGGTATTCAAGACGCGCTTGATTGAAAAGCTATAATCAAATCACTTTCTTAAAAAAATATGAAATACGACATTATATCATGGTAACTAATTAAATCTTTGTGTGTTAGAATTTATAAACCTTACTGATATTTTCACTTCAAATGATTTTGATTATTTTAAATAATGGTTTGCTAGTAAAATTGCCTTTTTGACTCCAACTTTGTTGTCATTTTTCATTTTAATGATAACCTTTAGCTTTTGACCAGTAAGTGAATAAGGATAATAGCGAGCTCGACGAGCTGGCCCGAAGGGCCTGCTCGCAAAGCGAGCTTTACGGTAACGCGAGTACCTGCTAAGTGATGGTTTTGAAAACTTTCGTCCAAAGTACCGAATTGGACACATCGCAACCTTTCGAATTTAAAGATAACGATAAAAACTGAGGAATTCTGACTTAAAACGGATGTGTAGACTGGTCACCCGCGCACGTCTATGGGAACCATAATTGGACAGGTAACCAGAATAACGGAAGCTGTGTATAAAAAAATGAAAATCGAAGGCGCCATTTTGTTTGAAATCTGATAAATAAAAACAATTTTTTGTCGAATTTTGTTGTGAAAACTATCTAGAATGAAAGAAAATGGTCTAACTAAGAAAATGAATCCGAACACCAATATCTTTTATTCAGTCGTTAACGCTGTACAGACGTTTAAAGTATTGTTTACGTGACGTCACAGCGTAGCGCCAAACAACACGTGCAAAACAAACAAATCAACAAGTACGCTATTTTAATGTCGCAAACGTTTTAAGTTTTACATTTATTTCACTTTAAATAATCTTTATTTCGCTTGAAAAATTATAGAGTGAAATAAAATAAACAAAGTTTTATCAACGTTTTCAAAACTCGTTATTCATTTCACGACAGGGGCGGAGCCATATTTAACACAGTACGTGTGACGCCACACGCACTCGTTACTGCATTTGAAATAAAAATGAGCGATTGTTTCATACTATTTCACGTAAAAAGTACATCGAGCTCGCTTTGAGGCTTTGCCTTTTTCATATTATTTTTTTATAATTACCGAGTATATTTCACGCTAATTGTGAGACGAACCCTAAATGACGTCTATCAATCTCCACACAGTGATCTCCCCTTAATTCTTCGGCGTAGATCTCTGCCACCAAGGTCCCGATATATCAGAATTTCTGATATACTATATTTTTTCAAAAATTGTTTTATCTACTGCTTTTATCTATCAGATAAGTTTTCTCTCATTTATTTAACAATGTTTATGAATAAATAAATAAATAATATGAATATTTAGAAATAATTTTAAAAATTATGAGATTATTTTCTTCCGAGACGATATTTTGATATTTTATATTTTTTAGCTTTTGAATTTATTTTTCGTTATTTTGTATACTTTCGATAATTTTTTGATAAACTATATCGAACGTAGGCACCAAAAGTTAAAAATAAAACAGAAAGAGAAAAATAACGTTAGATTTTCTTTGTAACGGTCGATATTTACATTTGAATTTCGACGTTACGTCATGTGACTTTCATCATCATGTGACGTCTTTGAAGGCAGTGATTACAATTCTGCCAAGGGAGGTAATCACTGTGAGGAGTTTGGACGTCTATATGGGCGCCGCCATTTTGAAATGGACGTCACGTCAGGTTACAACGTAAGTCAACGGGAAAAAATATAATTTTAGCATTTTGACAACATTCGTGACTTTATGAAAAAAATGAAAAACATGCCTAGAGATATTGACGTCAGGGTTAACATGACATTAATTTAAATGATTTTACTTTTATATTAAATAAAAAATGGAATGTTCAAATTTGATGGGACAGACTATAGTCTAGTTGCGTAAGTATACTTAAAACATGAGTATTATAAATACACTTAACATGTAGAATAGTTTCATACTATTACTTTAATTTTTTCCTTTCACAGTTTAATTGAAAACAAAAAGGACATTTAATGTGATTTCGTCTTAGAAAGTATGGATTTAACATAAATATTGATGCTGATAGTAAATTGTATTTAGTATCGTGTGTGATAATGAAAGAATAATATGAAAAAGGCAAAGCCTCAAAGCGAGCTCGATGTACTTGTATGAAAGCTCATTTTTATTTCAAATGCAGTGACGAGTGCGTGTGACGTCACACGTACTGTGTTAAATATGGCTCCGCCCCTGTCGTGAAATGAATAACGAGTTTTGAAAACGTTGATAAAACTTTGTTTATTTTATTTCATTCTATAATTTTTCAAGCGAAATAAAGATTTTTTTAAGTGAAATAAATGTAATACTTAACACGTTTGCGACATTAAATTAGTGTACTTGATTTGTTTGTTTTGCACGTGCTGTTTGGCGCTACGCTGTGACGTCACGTAAACAACACTTTAAACGTCTGTACAGCGTTAACGACTGAATAAAAGATATTGGTGTTCGGATTCATTTTCTTAGTTAGACCATTTTCTTTCATTCTAGATAGTTTTCACAACAAAATTTGACAAAAAAAATGTTTTTATTTATCAGATTTTTCAAAACAAAATGGCGCCTTCGATTTTCATTTTTTATACACAGCTTCCGTTATTCTGGTTCCCTGTCCAATTATGGTTCCCATAGACGTGCGCGGGTGACCAGTCTACACATCCGTTTACAGTCAGAATTCCTCAGTTTTTATCGTTATCTTTCAATTCGAAAGGTTGCGATGTGTCAAATTCGTTACTTTGGACGAAAGTTTTCAAAACCATCACTTAGCAGGTACTCGCGTTACCGTAAAGCTCGCTTTGCGAGCAGGCCCTTCGGGCCAGCTCGTCGAGCTCGCTAATATGTGGATGTTGATGGAACAAAGAATTAGTAATTCATCATATAAATGTCATGTATTAAATCATGTAGAACTAGATAGACTTTTTTATAAGAAATATTTTGTAAGAATACCCAAATGATATACGTTTCTATTGTTTTTATCAATATTTGAAATATTTCTTGAAAAAAAAATGCCCATTGGAAACAAATCCACTTTAAAAAGCATTTTTTTATTTTGAGTTCATCAGATTAATCAGGACATTCATTGATGTCCAAAAGTTACTAAATATTAAGTACAAACATTTACTCAATACTTAATATACATGTAATTTAATACCACTAGCTAACTTCATTTTACATCTTGCGACATTAAACGGTAGTGTTGCGACATTTAACAGCAAGGGAAAACCGTTCGACAGTAAACGTTATCATTGTGACATTTAACTGCAGAAGATTTTGCGACATTCAATGGCGACAAGTTCTGCAACATTTAGCGGCGTTGAAACATGTATATAACGGCGCCACACACATCATTTGAGCCGTGTCACGACAAAACCAACGTAATGCGTTTGCGACCAGCATGGATCCAGACCAGCCTGCGCATCCGCGCAGTCTGATCAGGATCCATGCTGTTCGCTTACCAACTCTTTTATAAGTAGAGAAACTGAAAGCGAACAGCATGGATCCTGATCAGACTGCGCGGATGCGCAGGCTGGTCTGGATCCATGCTGGTCGCAAACCCACTATGTTGGTTTTGTCGTGACACGGCTAAAAATCTTATCAAATTCAATGGTTTCGGAAATATTACGTTGTGTCAGTGTTTGTTAATATGTAAAAAGTGTCCCTGCATAACCGGGTACTTTAGGACTTTGTTTTTATTTTCACCTTAAAGTAACAATATTAAACTATCACCTAAAACGTCTTTATTGTAAAAAAAAACATATTAATAAAGAATCAGGCAATAACTTACGACTGGTCACACTAGATGTCGTGGAAATATTATCGTCTGCGTCCATTTGGATAACGTTGCGGTTGTTTAGCAACTGTGCTTCAGACGCCAATTTTTCGGCGGCTGCTTGAAGAAGTCTTGCCACACAATCATCAGCTAAAAAGTAAGTAAAAAAACTAATCAATTTTGTCAAAAATGTAATATACATATTTATTCTTAGAAACAAAATTTAAGCTCCTGATATATTCAGCAAAAAAAAATAATAAGTGCACGAGCACTTTTTTAGATAAAGGTGAGTGTATTATGTAAGAAGTTGTTCTGCTTAAATGTCCTAATAAAATTATATTGTTATCAAGAGAGACTCAATTCTTTCTTAGTATTTTAGAAAAAAATACTTTATAAGAGTATCAATGTGTAGTCTTGCACGTCTTTAATTACATTAAATTTTGGTCTCTTAATATTACACCATTGAATGAAACTAAGATTTATTTGGGACACCAATTTGATTACTTTGCAAACTTGTAGCATTCATTTGTGCTAAGACAAAATTAGCATTACAGGAAATAAGATGCCAATAAATTGTAAAAAATCAACCTGTGACCGTGTCTTTTGCGGCAAACATATCAGGTATATCAATATAATTCTTGGACAACACCATATCCCGTGCCCCTGCCTCATCTAAGTCCGTCTCAGGATCCACTCGTTGGCCTCGTCTGGCGTAAAAGCGGCGACGGAGTCGGTTCATTGTTCGAGCCCACTGTTAACACAAAGCAACACGGATTATAATCCGGTTGGATAATTTCTGAAGTTATCTTAAGAAATCACGACTGTGCCATATGATTGAGCGAAAACTACGATTACCAATTTCATGTCCAGAAATTGTCCTTGATTGATTTTAATATTTTGTGTTTAATACTTGTTTGCTGCTTGAAGATGTCCACATAGGCCTGGGTTTATTTCATTTTATTTATATTTTTTTGTTTATTTCTTTGTTTGTTTGTTTGTTTCTTTCTTTCTTTCTAAACATATTCATTCATTCATTCATTCATTCATTCATTCATTTATCAGTTTTTAAATAATAATACAATTAATTAAACTTAGATACTCATATGTAAGTACATTCCCTTTCTAAAATACTTTGTTATACAAATCTTAGTGTATCACTTACTCTTTTATTACATGCTTGTTTCGCTCTCACACACCAAGCGAAACATCCTGTTTTATCTTCTTCAGCCATTATGAAATAAGTTGCAGTAGTCAACGCAGAGGTACAGTATGTCTTCGTTGCTTGAAAACGACGTCAAACATGACTATGACGTCATGACGTTGTTAAACAAAGGGAGATCATTGGAAAACTTAATTATTTGTAGGTTGTTTATATTTGTGTTAGAACTTTTGAATAAATTATTGTCTCGGTATTATTTTGCAGTTGATTGGTCCACGTGATCAGTACTATGTTGAGAACACATGCTGTTAATTAAGTAAACATAGAGATATCATTGTCCATAACACTGGTTGTCTCCCTTGATAATAAATCATAAACCGCCAAAAAAAACTTTCCTCATTGCAAAAAAGTTTCGTAAATTTTAATTTTGAGTTTAATAGAACATTTAGAAATATTTAGACAAGGCAGTGTTTTGACTTTAATTCACTTTAATTTTACCAATTGCCAAAGATGCAAAAGATAGTTCATGTATATAGAAAAATTAGATACCAAAAATAAACAGTTTTTGAGAATGAATAAAAATGAAATCATTTCTGAAGCGTAATGGGCCTTTAAATTTTGGAACTCTTGAATTCGTAGTGAAAAACAAGTTCGTGATCCTGACAAAGGCTCCAGAGGTCGACCCTTAACCATCGTTAGATAATAATACTATACTGTCAGTATAGTATATGTGATTAAACAGAAGCAAGGCTAAAAGTGAACAAAGAAGTCATAGCGATATTACAAATTTATTTTACATACTTATTTTGTTATCAATTGAGAAAATCAGAAACAAATGAAATGGGTATGCTCTTCGGAGCTTTTCCTTTCTTGTCTTTTCTTTTCTTCTTATCTTTCTTATCGGGAGGAGAAGCTAGGGAATATTTGTCTTCGATGTCTTTAAGTCTTGGATCCTGCAATCAGGAGGAATATGATTTTGTTTATTTCTTTTTATATTTGTTGTTACTGAATTGTTAAAAGTTATTTCACATGAAGTTACAAAGTTTATTGATTACCCGGACTATTATAATGATTTCTTGATTAGCTATGAATAGCTAACCGTTAAATTTTTAAACACATTTTGTCATGTATTATCAGTTTCGGTTTACCTTGTGTTTTTCGATAAGATATTGAAATTTATTACCTTAATATATATGCATATAGATCTATATATCATTTTAAAAATGAAACAAAATTCATAAAATTTTACAGGATTATTTATTTAACAAGAACAATGTGACGACATGATTTGATGACATCATAAATGAAAGCGCATATCGTTACGCGGAGAAAATCGGTAAAAAAATAATTGAAATCCCTAAAAAAAGCATTAAATAAATAGATATTATGTTTGTTTTATATGTAAGATCAAGATACATTCCACTCGTGAACTTGAATTATATTATTTTGGTTACCGTTCTATCTATTCAAAGATAATGGCAAAGAAGAGTTTCAACATGTCTGATAAACTAGCGTTATTTGAAACGTCTGGCTAGTACAGTAAAAGCAACAACATAGAATACAGCATGATGAATGTTCAAAAACTTTTCAATGCCCTAACTCGTAGACTTTCTAAAACTGGTTTAAATCGATACAAAATATTTTCATTAAATGTTGTGTGACCAAAACGCGTGTTTAATGATCATGTGAAAATAGTCCGTCAAAATTGTTACTCACGGTTATTCGGATTATTTCTTCGGGTACCATCATGTACTCTCTGTTGTCTAGAATCTGTGGTTGATCTGTAGCGCAGACGACAGTTGATGACGTATTAAGCTCTTCATTTTGTTCTGTAACCGAATCCTCCAATTCATTATCTTTACCGTCTTCAACTGATAAATCAAGATCTTCTTCGAATTCTTCGTAATAGTATGCAGGTTTTTCTTTCTTTACTTTCAAATGTTTATTTGCTTCCCCTTTTGTTTTTATCTTTTCTTTTATTCTACTTTGTAACTTCTTTTTATTTGGACGGTCACCATGGCTTGGTTCAACAACGTGACGACTGTAATCTACGGTTGCACTCGTCTCCAAGAATGCAGGTTCCTGTGTCGATTCGGTAGCCTCGTTTTCAGTTTTGTCAGTGTCAATAAAATTTAGGGGCGGTAGTTTTTCAAATAATTGCTGTTCTTGTGTTTTTCGAGTGCACATGTTGTTAATATTTTGGTCTGTGTATTGATTATACATGCATTTTTGTTCCGTTTGTTGAATTTTGGTTATATTTGCTTCAGCTTCGTTTAATTTGATATCTTTTGGTGACCTATTTTGAATTGTGGTGTCATTTTGCTCCTCGTCTTCATACGGTGTCTTTGTTAATATTGTGTCTTGAATTGTAGTGTCGTTTTGTTTTTTGTCTTGTTTGTGAACGTTAACATCGTTTGTATTTTTGGTTTTCTTTGACGTAATCTCTTTAATCTGATTAGGTGAAGTTTCTTTTGGTTGAGTCTCTGTTGTGGCTACTTCTTTTTCTGCTGATTGCGTCTGCAGTCGTCGCCTTACTGGTATAAATCTTCGCATTTTATGACCTGGTTCTTCTTCAGTTTTTGTTTCGTTGTCTGGTAGAGTGTCTGATGGAAATAAACATACTTTTATCATTCATTTTGGCATAAATAGTGTGAAATAAAACATTAAGAATTCGTGCCATTTTAATATCGAGTCTATATCATTCAGTATTATACCTTACATAAATGCATCCCCTTTCTTTTTTATATAAGTGTAAGAGGGCCTTAAAATATTATAATATTCGCGATGACGTTCAGGGGTCCGTAGCCGCTTAAGCGGAAACTATAATGTTTTTGTCGGACCGCTAAAATTTAGCGGGGTAAACCATAGGGAATGTCTTAAAACAAGCACGCAATATACAAGCTCACTGACAACAATTTTCAGTACATTTTACAAAAAAATTTTGCTATTCAAACAATATGATTTTCTCCCCCTTAAACTTTCATCAGTATGTGTTAGCAAATGAGTTATAATAAAAGAAGTAGCACACAGTACGTCGGACCTCTTAGCCTTATAGTAACCTCCCAGTCAGCCCAAAACATTTAAATGCCTGTGCACTGAGGCTTTCGGTGTTTTGTTCTATTTCTTAAAAAATATCGTGTATTTTACTGTTAGTATCTAGATCTATACCAGTACTGAATTATGTTTATATTGTTTTGCATGTAAGATTGAAATATAATTTCACTGAGTGAACACAAGATGCAATATTTTCACGAGTGGCGTAACCACGAGTGAAAATATAATAGCTGGTGTTCACTAATGAAATGTATTTCAATTTTATATGTAAAACAAATAAATTTTCTTTTTATTTCATGCTTTTTAAGTGATTTTAAGTATTTTTTACTGATTTTGCCGCGTAACATCGCGCATTCTTCTTTGTGACGTCATCACATCATGGCGTCACATCATCAATTTTGAAATATAGTTCTGTTAAATTTCTCTAATTTTGTAACATTTTTATCATGATGTATGGTGACATCGACTTTCTTTTCCTAAAGAAGCAAAATTTACGCATGACAGCATTTATTTCTGCCTGTTATTCCATTTAGTTATGATTTTCTTTTCATCCGCATTCAGATATATAGTCCGGCTACAGTGAAAATTATTGTTCTCTTGTGGTAGAAAGGGATTAAATGCTCCAGGGAAATCAATTTTAACTTTTTTACAGGAAGGGATGTCTATACTTATCTGAGTTCTCTGTGGCGAATATTTAGAATTTTTGTTTTCATCTTAAATCTGTTTTTGTTTTAACGAGACTCCTTGTAAAGCGTTTAGTGCTTTCTTCAGCAAAATTGTTGAAAAAATGCATCATGTTAAGGGGAACTTTATCTTAATGAATTTAGCAATGCAGCTTTTCAGAATTTTGGATTCATATAATCACGTTTTCAACTTTATGAAACTTCATAATTTACATATAGTTAAAACGTCCACGCCGGTTAATTAAGCTGTCACCTGTATGCGTGGGAAATGGTTATTCAAGACCAATTTATCAAGACGCAGTGATCTCCCCTTATCGGTATCTGCCATAGAAGGTTATCAATGTGACGAGTTTATAATAACGACATATTTATCTCCTTTAAATGTTTAAACGGCTAAAACTGAGTATAATATACTTACAATTTGGAATAGCTTTAAATATGTTTAGTTTTTCTCTGGCCATTGCATCATTTAATTCTTTTGCTAAAACTTTTGGATCCCCCTTAAACATGCTATTTTCAAATTCTTGAGCAGTTGTAGTTGTTAAGGTTTCCATAGCTGTACACTGTTCTTGAGGACTTTCTTTTTCGTATAAAAGACGGAGTTTTTCAAGCTCGGCATATTCATTATCGGTCATAGGTGGGCCGGTTTTAAGGACTTCCTCTAGTCCACCAGGTGGCAGTGGTTTGATTTCAACTCCTTCCGGAAGTGGATCTGTTTCATTTAAATAGTCAACATAAAAACTGATTGAGCGGCATTGTTGAAATACAGGAGCGTTTTCTAGCTTTTTAGTAACACTTGTTTCCAAGTGCTGTGACACTATTACGTAACCGTTCACTGTGCTATAAATAGAAGTACTTATGCACGACTCCGGGTCCCTATTCGGTGCAGGGTGCTGATTGTCAATTTTCTGCATTTGTAATTTAGAATTTTGATACATGTTTTCAAAATCAATCAAATCAGGACATTTTTTTCTTTCAGCTTCTTTCTGCGGCTTTTGAAACTTTGGAGTTTTCTTTCTTCGATTGTTTGATGTATTCTGCTGAAAAGGGACGTTTCCGGTTTCTCTTTGGGATATCTTTTCTTTCTCAAGATCAAGCGTTTCTGTGCGAGTTTGATAATTTCTTTCAGTTTGGTAAGAATTTATTCCTTCTTCGAGTTTAGTCTTCATAAAAATATTCTCTTTAAAGTTTTTCTCTTGTTGAATCATGTCGCCGGCTCCACCTTTGATTACGCTGAGTAACTTTTTAATTGGGTTTATATGGCAGTTCCTCAAATTTTCGCAGAATTCCTCGAGGGATAGGTTCATTTCATTTTCCTCTCGGAGGGTGTAGAGCCTTTCAGCGAGAGAATCTCTCTTACTCTGAATCGCCCGGAATGACAGCTGTTCTCTTACTTCCCTCGGTTCACCGTTAATCTCCTTTTTCAAATAGATGAACTTGGTAAATCTACTCAACCAATGTAGAAGATCGGCTTTTGAAAAATCGCGTCCATTTTCTCTCACAAACTTATTAAAAAGAGATGTAAAATCAGAGAAAGAAATTCGACTGTACTTTAAAATTGCCTCCCTGTATTGAGCTACTTTATATGGCTCGATCTCATCTTTTTGCTTGTTGTTAATGTCTAGGGTTGATTCATTTGGCGCTGTTCTGTCCCAGCGCCGTTCAGTAAACGCTTGGCTATTTATTGTTGAATCTACATCATTATTACTGATATTCGAATCCAAAAGCTTCAAATCTTTCAACTGGGTATAGAATACATCATTAGCGTCCGCACTTTTTGTGCCTATCTTATGCAGATTCCGTACAGGCTCACTAGAACTATAACTTTTTGTCAAAGAGTTGAATCTTCTTACTGTAGACGTTGTAGACATCTTTGTCGGTGACTTCCTTTCTTGAATTCCTTGGAAACATTTAACACATGTTGTTGATTTAGAAAGTGTCTTTCCATAGAATGTTACTACGAACAATATGGCGTTCCGGACAAGACAGAGAAAATTTAGGAGTATCTCCCAAAAAAGGCGAATCGTGTCAACAATATCATAATATGTGAAGTCGTCGCCGTCCTCGGATTTGTCGTTTTCTCGATATTCAGAAATTCTCATCAATTAGTTATTGTTCAAATGCACATTTTAAATTCCGCGTTGTTACATATCCGGCGTTGTTTGTTTTCCGCACTTCCGTTTCCTGTTACTGACGTCGACGGCGTCGCGGGAAAAGACGGTCAGTTTTGTCGAGCCATTACGCTTCATTACGATTCTTACTCAATATTCTATTAGTAAGAGTTTAACTTAGACTCTAAATAGTCCGGAACATAAATTTAATTTTTCTTTCGATATAAGAAACAGATATTGAAGTAAGAGACATGTTTTATATAATTATATATATAAAAAAACAACAAAACACGAATGAAGCGGGTTAACATGTAAGAACATGGAAAAAAAATAATTTAATACGACCTATTGAGTGACTCAATGATAATACATAAATATGAACATTCTTATTCAAACAACTAATACAGTTTTACGCTTTATTCTGTCCTAAATACATTACAAATCAGCCATTATAAGGAAATATCATAAACATAAGAAAGACAAGAATGAATAAACAAGATTTGACTTTTTAACACTAAGACTATAGAAAAAAAAAAGAAAAATATAGATCTAAGCATCATCTCTATATTCGTATGAGTAAACAAGCAGATATATCGCTGAGACAAAAAAGGCCCATAAAATGTGGACCAAATTTAAAATTATAAAAGAAATGTATAACCCGTAACGGAAATTTTGTCAAAATCCGATACATTTTGCCTCTTTCCGATTATCGATCACTTCAAATAAGCGTTATAAACACCCTGAGCAAAACACTTTTAAAATGGCGTATGCAATATTAATTATGAAAATGACGGAGTTTGCCGAATAGGACACGGATAATGGCGAAATTGGCGGAATTTTTACGGGCGCTTCATTTGTTAGATATATTGATATGTAAATATAGAATTTTAATATCAAAATGCTAAATTAAATTTTAAAAAAAGATACAGTAGCAGACGACAGCAAGTGCATTGACTGGTCAGATAAGACTAAAGTTTTAACTGGTTGACTCTTCTATAATATTTAACATTTTTTACATTTTTACTAGATTTTAGTATATAATTTTTTTTGTTTGTTCTAAACTTAACAGAAAATGTTCTAAACTTAATACAAAAGATTTGAGTACTTGTTCACTATAAATACGAGCGTATTAATAAGTCGGGAGTAAATTGTAGTTCTTTTCTACAGTCAATCCTGTGTTAAAGACCACCATCGAACATAGATGACACTGTTAATAAAGGCCACTCCTCAACAATCCTTCATTAATAAAATACGAATTAACCTCCAAATTAAGGCCACATAACTTTAAAAGATAACGTTTGGTATCTCCATTGGATGACTTTTTCACAGGTTTGACTGTAATATAGTGCATAACCATAAAATAATCTGATGAAACAATATTGCTTTTATGTTATAATTTTTGTCCGTGCCAAAGGATTTACCTCACGGTAAATGACCTCAATATTGTTCTAATTATAATCCCAAACGATAATATGATAATAAACCATTGTTGTTAAGAAAATCATGGAACAAATTTTGAATATTAAGTTCTCACATTGCGACTTTCTGACATCAGTATGTTTGCATATAATTAATCATTCGTAGAAAATAAACTAAAAAATTAAACACAACTTTGTTATTATTGCGAGCTGTTTATGGAATAAAAACATCTCCGCTATTCGCTATTTTTACAGTAAACAATAAGCGTTCCAGAAAATGATATGATTTCGTTAAAAGTCTGTGCGACATTGGTTTTCCGGCCATCTTTCGTTTTCTGGGAGAATATCTTCGTATGGATCCATATACGACATTTCATCACGAACCTGTAATGTATAGGCACTTGGTTAATATAAATACAAGAATTAAAAAAATGTGACCATTAAAGGAACTCGACTGAGGTTCAAGGGCCTAAAACATAAAATTTGAATTTCTTAAATAGGCCAGCTGGAAAACTTTAAACAGAAAAATATGCAAAAGATAATTAAGAAATATACTCAGAAATAGATTGAAAATGGTATTTTTCAGTTTGGGGTTATTTTTCACACTTAGAATAATTATTCTGGAAAAAACGGAGTGAGTGAATAAAATCTCGCACACAAGTTATTGGTCCAGATGGAATATTAATTCCGAATTTCTTTTGCAATTCCATCATATCAATAAAAATTAAAAATAATTAAGACCAGTGCAGTCCCTTTAAAAATTGTATTCAAAGAAAATCCTACTTCGGTTGTACTCTCTTTTATAAAAAAAAATTTTAGAATTTTCCTTTTGAATAAATAAAAAATTCAGGAAAATAAATCAAAAGTCTTTGCACTAATAAAAAGAAATTTAAACATAAATTGACAAAAAAAAGATGAAGTCCAAATTTCAAAAAATTTGCCCAAAATCTTCGGGAAATTTAGGGGGCCCCCGGGAACCCAATATTCTTACAATTTTTCTTTTGTAAAATTTAAAGGGGTTAGAATTTTTTTCCAATTTGCTCGCAAACTTTCCCAAAAAAAGAAATTAAAAAAAAAACAAACTTTAGAATGGTAATAAAACTAATTCCAAACGTTTGTTGACCATGTTACTAAAAATAGATTGAACATACCTTTTCTGCCTGCATGAACGCTCGTACAAGATTTTTTCCCGCCAATTTTTGGAGATTTTCTTCATTCCACCCACGACGTATTAATTCGGCAAATAGTGCGGGATACGTGGATACGTCCTCCAAACCCTCGGGTACCCTGATAACAGGCAATGAATATGTGCTTTTAAATAGAGTTTTTATTTCATGCTTTCCAGTGTTTTATTGTAATATATCAGATGATTATATTCTGATAAACCACTAGTGAAATTTATAAAATATAATATTTACTGTAGCCGAACTATATCTGAATACGGATGAAAAGAAAATCATAACTAAATGGATTAACAGGCAGAAATAAATGCCGTCATGCGTAAATATTGCTTCTTTAGGAAAAGAAAGTCGATGTCACCATACTTCATGTTAAAAATGTAACAAAGTTAGAGAAATTTAACAGAACTATATTTCAAAATTGATGATGTGACGTCATGGTGTGATGACGTCGAAAAGGAGAATGCGCGACGTTACGCGGCAATATCAGAAAAAATACTTAAAATCACTTAAAAAGCATGAAATAAAAAGAAAATTTATTTGTTTTACATAAAAGATTGAAATATATTTCATTCGTGAACACCAGCTGTTATATTTTCACTCGCCACTCGTGAAAATATTGCATCTGGTGTTCACTCAGTGAAATTATATTTCAATCTTACATGCAAAACAAACACGTTTGTAACGTCGCTTTTTATTGGATAATCGAGACGTTTATAAATATTAATTATATACATGGCTGTTGTTATTAAATGAAATAATTTCCTTTTTTTATCAAATTTGCTGTAATATTAATATATGAATTTAACCTTCGCCTTAATTTTACTATAATTATTTACCCTGGTATTTCTTGAATTAAACCATATGTCGTGTTGACAAAAAAGCAATATGTTGTAAAATATATGGTTTATGCTTAACGACATGTAATTAAAATGATTTTTAAAATAAATAAAAGTAGGCCATGTGGAAATAAACATTAGAACCATGTGCTTTCGGAAAGTCTGCAAAATCCTAATTATTCGTGGGGCACTAATATGGTCAATCATCGAAAATTTTCTTTTCGTCTGCTAAACGATTATTTATAGCGTTAAATTATTTGACAAAAAAAAAAAAAAAAAAAAAAATAGCCCGACAATCCACGAATTAGAGATCCCACAAAAATGTCCATTTTGACAAAACCACGAACTTTAATGCCCACGAAATAAATTTTAATTCACAGTACATGTGCAGCTTAAAAGTGGTGATATGGATATAACTTAGAAATGGTTATGTAGAATCAACTTACGAAGGAACTCCATCATAGTCTGCTCCTATGGCAACGAAGTCTACACCAATGTAATTCTTTATATAGTCAATATGATCTGAAAGAAAATAAGATATATGAATGTACTTTAACATGGTACGCTTCGTTAACTATAAAATAAAGAAGATTCCCTCCCTACAATTTTACCTAAAACATTAATAATCATAAGTTTTCTGAGGCCAGTAGATCTATTCCTAGTAAATTCTTTTACAATATTCAGTGATGTCAAACATGACGTCAAAGAATTACATGATATAAGTATTATTAGAACTTCTAAACTTACTTAAGAATTTAATACCTATGTAATTACTATGAGTCGTAAATGATTGATTTTATTGGTAACTGTAATTACTTACAACCTGGTGTAACCTTACTGACATTGGTTGTCAGGCATTTATGGCAAAAAATCTGGCAAATTACTTTTATCTGTAAATCCATTAAATTTTTCAATTACTTTATTACAACTTGTATTAAAAAAGCACCGTATTATGACCATGTAATCGCCCTGTCAGGAACCACATCTATGTAATGACGCAATCAGCTAGGGTTGTCCAGGCGAAAGAATTATTAATAACTTCCATAATATTAATCTAAAGCTTGGTTAGAGAAATTAGTCAGAAAAAGATTGTATACACTTTTACTTGATATTGTATACAGTAGTTAAATTATTAGTTATGATGTTGACCAAATTCTTTGAAGCTGTCTGTCAATATTCAAGTCTCTCTTTTTATGATGTTACAAAGTTGATTTACCCACTTACCTGCGAATTTTAGAAAAAGTGTTTTCTATTGTTATGTTGGGGTTTTCCCCGGACAGTTTATATATTTAAACCCTAGAAAATTTTCCCCTGACAAAACCCCCCCGTTCCCTTTCTTTTAAAAAATAAAAAACAACAAAAAACACCAACATTAACCAACGATAAATGCACTGTTGAAATCATTTACGCATAATCAAACAAAACATAATTATATAAATATTGGCATTTTAAGCCAGCAGATATTGGCCTTGTAAACTTGCAGATATTGGCATTCTAAGCTTCTAGATATAAGCATTCTATGCTTGCAGATATTGGCATTCTAAGCTTCTAGATATAAGCATTCTATGCTTGCAGATATTGGCATTCTAAGCTTCTAGATATAAGCATTCTATGCTTGCAGATATTGGCATTCTAAGCTTCTAGATATAAGCATTCTATGCTTGCAGATATTGGCATTCTAAGCTTCTAGATATAAGCATTCTATGCTTGCAGATATTGGCATTCTAAGCTTCTAGATATAAGCATTCTATGCTTGCAGATATTGGCATTCTAAGCTTCTAGATATAAGCATTCTATGCTTGCAGATATTGGCATTCTAAGCTTGCAGATATTGGTATTCTTAGCTGGCAGATATTGGCATTCTTAGCTGGCAGATATTGGCATTCTTAGCTGGCAGATATTGACATTCTAAGCTTGCAGATATTGACATTCTAAACTGGCAGATATTGACATTCTAAACTTGCAGACATTCTAAGTTTGACATTCTAAACTTGCAGCATCTAGCTTGATACATTCTGGCAGAAGCATTCCTTAGCTGCAGATATATTGACATTCTAAACTTGCAGATATTGGCATTCTAAGCTTGCAGATACTGGCATTCTAAGCTGGCAGATATTGGCATTCTTAGCTGATATTGCATTCTTAAGCTGCAGATATACATTCTAAACTGCAGATTTGGCATGGCATTCTTAACTGGCAGATATTGACATTCTAAGTTTGCAGATATTGACATTCTAAACTTGCAGATATTGGCATTTTAAGCTGGCAGATAAGGACATTCTAAGCTTGCAGATATTGGCATTCTTAACTTTCAAATATTGGCATTCTAAGCTTGCAGATATTGACATTCTAAACTGGCAGATATTGACATTCTAAACTTGCAGATATTGACATTCTAAGTTTGCAGATATTGACATTCTAAACTTGCAGATATTGGCATTCTAACTTGCAGATACTGGCATTCTTAGCTGGCAGATATTGGCATTCTTAGCTGGCAGATATTGACATTCTAAGCTTGCAGATATTGCACATTCTAAACTGGCAGATATTGACATTCTAAACTTGCAGATATTGACATTCTAAGATTTGCAGATATTGACATTCTAAACTTGCAGATAATTGGCATTCTAAGCTTGCAGATACTGGCATTCTTAGCTGGCAGATATTGGCATTCTTAGCTGGCAGATATTGACATTCTAAGCTTGCAGATATTGACATTCTAAACTGGCAGATATTGACATTCTAAACTTGCAGATATTGACATTCTAAGTTTGCAGATATTGACATTCTAAACTTGCAGATATTGGCATTCTAAGCTTGCAGATACTGGCATTCTTAGCTGGCAGATATTGGCATTCTTAGCTGGCAGATATTGGCATTCTTAGCTGGCAGATATTGACATTCTAAGCTTGCAGATATTGACATTCTAAACTTGCAGATATTGACATTCTAAGTTTGCAGATATTGACATTCTAAACTTGCAAATATTAACATTCTAAACTTGCAGATATTGACATTCTAAGCTTGCAGATATAGTCATTTTAAGCTTGCAGATATTGGCAATCTAAGCTTGCAGATATTGACATTCTAAGCTTGCAGAAACTGGCATTTTAAGCTTGCAGATTTTGGCATTCTAAGATTGCAAATATTGAAATTCTAAGCTTGCAGATAATGACATTCTACGCGTGCAGATGTTGACATTCTAAACTTGCAGATATTGACATTCTAAGCTTGCAGATATTGACATTCTAAACTTGCAAATATTGGTATTCTAAGCTTGCAGATAATGGCATTCTAAGCTTGCATATATTGGCATTCTTAGCTTGCAGATACTGGCATTCTAAGCTTGCACATATTGTCATTCTTAGCTTGCAGATATTGGCATTCTAAGCTTGCAGATATTGTCATTCTTAGCTTGCAGATATTGGCATTCTAAGCTTGCAGATATTGGCATTCTAAGCTTGCAAATATTGGCATTCTTAGCTTGCAGATATTGGCATGCTAAGCTTGCAAATATTGGCATTCTAATCTTGCAAATATTGGCATTCAAAGCTTGCAGATACTGGCATTCCAAGCTTTCAAATACTGGCATTCTTAACTTGCAAATACTGGCAATCTAAGCTTGCATATACTGGCATTCTAAGCTGGCAGATATTGGCATTCTTAGCTGGCAGATATTGGCATTCTTAGCTTGCAGATATTGGCATTCTAAGCTTGCAGATAATGGCATGCTAAGCTTGCAAATATTGGCATTCTTAGCTTGCAGATATTGCCATGCTAAGCTTGCAAATATTGGCATTCTAATCTTGCAAATATTGGCATTCAAAGCTTGCAGATACTGGCATTCCAAGCTTTCAAATATTGGCATTCTTAACTTGAAAATACTGGCAATCTAAGCTTGCATATACTGGCATTCTAAGCTTGCATATATTGGCATTCTAAGCTTGCACATATTGTCGTTCTAAGCTTGCAGATAATGTTAAGGAATTCTTTTGTACTTTTTTCTAATCCCATACTGTTTTTGTTCTTATTATTTCCATGGTTACTTGAAAATAAAAAAGCACAAAGAGAAAGGCAATAATTTGGAAATATTCTAAATACTGAGATGTTATACTAAAATTAAATTACCTATCTTAAGTACTCCAGTGAGATATTGAAAACTAGTAAACTAGTAATGAAATATAAGTCATATCACACTGCTTGAAAATGATTGAGATATAGAATTTTGTTTCCCAATTATTTAGCTGCCAAATATATTGCAAAGATGGACATTTTGAACTTAACATATGTCACTATGCGCTCGTTAAAATATATAACTATTCTTAATTATCAGTGAGATATTTTCAATATCTACTTAAACAAATATCATATAGTATATCATTTATATCCTCACCGTCATCTTAAGAACATCATCTTGCACATTCCTGTAATGATTACACAGTGAGAAGGCCGAGGAGTGACTGTATATTACAGGGGCCTTGGAGATCCTTAGTGCGTCAACCATCGTATCCTTGGCAACGTGAGACAGATCAACGAGCATGCCCAGTCGATTCATTTCCAGTATCACTTTCTGAAACATCATTGTGTATATGTTTGTCTCATACATACAAATGCACATCGTTTTCCTGCTACATATCAGTACTAACACATTTAAAATACATATTTCAATAATTTACAATTTTGCGATATTTCCAATCACGTGTCATTATGATGATGGTGACGGCGATGTTGTTGTTGATGATGATGGTGATTATTATTATGATGATGATGATGATGATATGGTGATGAAAATGACGGTGATGATTATGTTGTTTATGATGCTGATGATAATGTTGATGATGATTACAGTGATGATTATATTTTTATAATGATGCCGAATATGATGATCATGTCTATGATGATGATGATAATGATGATGATGATGATTGGTGATGATTATGACATAAAGAACATCGAAAACCAAAGCTAACAGTAAACAAGAAACAAGAGGGCCATGATGGCCCTGAGATCGCTCACCTGTATATAGGCCCCCGGAGCAGGGCCAGTTTAAACCCCAGGGCTTTTATTTGAACAAACTTGGAAGACACCCATTAGAAGATGTTTCATGATGTTAAGTTTTTACTACACACATATAATGAAAAACAATGATCTCCGCCCCCCCCCCCCTTTGGCAGGGCCAATTTTAACCCAAGGGCTTTTATTTGAACAAACTTGGTAGACACCAACAAAAAGATGTTTCCTGCTTAAAATCTAACCTCTAGCTCATTGGGTTTTTTAAAAGAAGATTTTTTAAGTTTTTACTTTACACATATAGTTAAAAACAATGACACCTCTGGGGCGTAGCCAGTTTTGACCCCAGGGCTTTGATTTGAACAAACTTTGTAAACACTTACTAGAAGATGTTTCAAGCTAAATATCTAAACTCTAGCTATTTGGATTTTTTCACAGAAGATTTTTAAGTTTTTGCCATACATATATAAGGAAAATCAATGACCCCCGGGGCGGGGCCAATTTTGACCCCGGGGCGGGGCCAATTTTGACCAAAGGGCTTTTATTTGAACAAACTTTGTAGACACTGACTAGAAGATGTTTCATGCTTAATATCTAAACTCTAGCTATTTGGGTTTTTTCAAAGAAGATTTTTTAAGTTTTTGCTATACACATATAAGGAAAATCAATGACCCCCGGGGCGGGGCCAATTTTGACCCCAGGGCTTTTATTTGAACAAACTTTGTAGACACCCATTAGAACATGTTTCATGCCAAATATCTTAGCTCTAGCTTTTTGGGTTCTTTAAAAGAAGATTTTTTAAGTTTTTACTATATGCATATAGGGAAAATCAATGACCCCCTGGGGCGGGGCCAATTTTGACCCCAGGGCTTTTATTTGAACAAACTTGGTAAACACTTATTAGAAGATGTTTCATGCTAAATATCTTAGCTCTAGCTCTATGGGTTCTTTAAAAGAAGATTTTTTAAGTTTTTACTATATGCATATAGGGAAAATCAATGACCCCTGGGGCGGGGCCAATTTTGACCCCAGGGCTTTTATTTGAACAAACTTGGTAGACACTCACTAGAAGATGTTTCATGCCAAATATCTAAGCTCTAGCACTTTGGGTTTTTTAAAAGAAGATATTTAAAGTTTTTTCTTTCGGTTGCCATGGCAACCAGAGTTCTGGATGGAATTAAATTCTTTGAACAATCTTTAAAGGTGACCACCAAAGGAACATTCCTGTGACGTTTGGATGAAATTGGCTTAGTGGTTTATGAGGAGATGTCATTTAAAGTAAAAGTTTACGGACGGACGGACGGACGACGGACGGACGCCGGACGAAAAGTGATCACAAAAGCTCACCCTGTCACTTTGTGACAGGTGAGCTAAAAAACTACATGTAGTAATTACATTGTAACATAATCAATTTTACTAAAGCGCAGTATGTACCAGTAAGCATTAACTTTAATATGTGTACTTACGAGCTGTAAACAAAATGTTCAATGTACAGTACCTTTCTTGTGATTTTGTGAATAATTAATTGAATATAATATATGTGTGTACCTCTCCAAAATCTGTAAGTCCGCCATGTTTTTCTCCGTCCTTCGTCACATTATACTCTGGCGTATCAGCAATCCAGTTGTCTGCCCTTGAATTAAATAGATACATGATTGAACATCTTGTTTATTTCATAAAAATGTAAAACAACAACAACAAGGAGAACAAAAAGAAAAAAATAATTTTATATTTCTTAGAATGCATTGTTGAAAACGGAGTACATTCATTGATTTGTAATTGTTACGGCATTGGTTTGGACAGGGATATTCGAATTTGTTCGAAAGACTATCGTGTGACAGACAAATGGCTTTGTATCATATAAATCTCTGAGTAAGGCGTTTGCTTGGGTTAAATATTGACATTTAAGCATATTGAAAACTACTTATAAAATTCATACAAAATTTGCATCGTGTTAGAATGATCAGCGAGAAACAAATTAGAATTCACCGAACTCGAGCTATCTGTATTTGAATTTGATTTTGTTTCTTGCAATTTTAATCTTACATCAGTCTTACAAACCCTATCATTTACTTTATTACTGATTCGTGTTTTAAAGCTCTTTGCTGGAATTCAGCTACATGAACGCAGAAGAAAAAATGCTATGCTTACACCGACGTTGTGAATTATCCGCACTTGAAATGAGCAAATTCTCAAATTCAAGGGCAGGTAACCCAATTTTTTTCGCCGAAATTGTTTCTGTTATCAAACTTTAAGATTTGCAAGGCCAATAAATGATTTCTTTTATGTTGTTTTCATTATGCTATATGTTTGCCTATATGTAACCTTACCATATGCCTTGAAAGCAAAAAAAAAAAAAAAAAAAAAAAAACAAAAAAAAAACAAACAAAAAAACAACAACAACAACAAAACAAAATAAGACAAACAAATGCCTGTATATATCATTTCAGTTAGTCTAGTTCATTCCGGGCCTTTCAAATGGACTTAATTTAAAAACCCTGGCTCATGCACCTTTAATGATATGTAAAGACTTATTAAAATATGTTGGGGTCTAAATGATCAGTAATATCATTTGCAAGTGCAGATATCTCATTATACAAATCGTGTAGGAATACAAGCGTTTACTTTAAAAACCTGTTTACTCAGTAAATACGCTTGTTAAAAATAGTAAATATCAATATTTGATGCAAGAGAGACGTCGCGTTTAAATATTATATTTGAAGATAAAACAAACGTGAGACTGAATTTTGATATTATACAAACAATCTTGAAACTAAACAAAAAAGACATGTATTGTGAATAGGAAAAACACTGTTTTATTTTTCAAGATAAAAAAATCTGTGTTCTGATTGGTTTGCAACTTGTCCTTGGGCTCCTACCTTTACTATATGTGCGATAACAAAAGTGTTTTATTTGTTTATTTGAATTCTGACTACAGTCGAGTAGATATCAAGTTTAATATACACCAAAATCATGATACTGATCCGAACACGTGACGTGCTTCTCAACTTCACCTACTTTCGTGGGCATGAAATTTCGTGGTTTTGTAAGAACGGACATTGTTTTGTAGATTTTTTATTTCTAGGGTTGTCTGTTTTTGCAAAAAAAGTCAAATGGTTTATAATGTTATGTGAAAATATTTCTACAGCAGACAAAATAAAATTTCGTTGGAGATTGATGTTACTATACATGAATGCAATGGAAATTAGTGTCCCACGAATTATAATGATTTTACAGTATGTTTACTTTAATAATATAAAAAATGCATATCGTAAATTTCGATGTAAAAAGGATACTAAATGACACTACCGATTGAAATGAGCAGGCGAATACGTTACAAATAATAACTTTGTCTGCTTGATGTATATATTTTAAATATATATTGTAACTGCAAAGATTTTGTCTCTTGAATTTTTTCTTCTTTTCACTAAATATATTAAACGGAATCATTTAGTGGTGTTCAATCTTTAAACTCGCGGAAAAGATAAAGGTGATCAGTTCGTTAAGAAACAGTAAAACAATAGCAGCAATAGTCTGGTTCCATGCCTTCTATATATTCTGCGATAACGTAGTAATAGGGACAGGTTATCCAGACTACAGCAGCAGAAGCAGTAACAACAACAACAACAACAACAAAACAAACCAAGGTGTGTTGCAGCTATGGGTCACGGTCATGTATCGCACTCCAAGGTCGTAAAACATCCGAAGTGTCCCTAAACTACTATCAATAGAGTGACCTCCCTCTAGGCCGACCATGCTGCCGACTTTTCCCGCCCTAAATGCGTCCAATATTCCTGAAAATTATATTTCAAAATTGTCAAAGGGTGAAAAGATCTATGTTTATATGTCTGTAATTGTCAGAATTAGTAATGTGATAAAAACAGACCAAAGTACCTTCCTAGAAAGAATGACGTTAAATTTTTTATGAAAATAGGATGCGTGAGCATGAGGTGATCTCTAAATAAGCGACGACAAAGCAATTATAGCTATGGAATATTTTCTTGCGAAACGTTTTTATTCTCTTCATAACGAAATACGCTCTAATATAAATGTTCATTGTATGCCAATTCTAAATATTTTAGTCTCTGCTATGTAACATGATTTTTCTACATCTATTACTAGTATTATAATCGGACTTCTGCAATGACATGTTTCAGCATAGGTCATCTTCCTAAAGCTTTTTAATTTATGTAGGTAGCTAAACTATAGCTGTTATCTTTGTTGTATACATTTTCATATTTAATTTTTTCAGGGCCCAATCAATTTTAAAGACCCGGCCTGCTGTACGGTATAAGTGGATATTTCTGCGTGTCGAAAAGTTAGCGAATTTAAAAATTATAGACATTTCGCTGGAGGAAATATAAGCGAATCGTGCAAAGGTAGAATTTAATGACCAGTTGGTTGACATTTATGCTAGAGGAAATTTTGGCAATTTTCGTCAATTCGCGAAATTCGCCAATATTTCCGCGTCGCTAACTTATTCACTTATACGTGTACAGTATATAGAGGTGCCTGTCCGTTAAGTATTAGAAAGAGCATTGAAACACGAGGCTATCTGATTTGTACGAGGGGGCGTAGCCCCCCGAGTATTAATCAAATTGCCGCGTGTTTTAATGTTCTTTCTATTTTGTATCATAGTCAAACATAAAAACACGCTGTCACAATATGCAACCCTAGAAAAAAGTAACCAATGAACGAGCATCTGAATATGATATTTCTATCGCTTTCCCTTTCTGTGCCGTCACAATAAGTATACCCCGGCAAAAATGAGCCTATCAATAGGCTTGCTCAGGAGTGCACTCCATTTAACGCACTGTGCATGTATAATTATGTAAACGATTTAACTCTTACATATTTTTAACAGAAAGGTCCCAAAACTATGATACAATGTGTATTACCTTGAGCTGTCGTTACGAACTGAAAAGTATCCGGATACTTAGCAACGTATTTCTTTATGACGTCAAGCTGCTCTAGGGACAACCTTATAGCATCTTTGTATTGTGAACCACAAGGCACGTAGCATGCCCAAAACTGAAAATATGATACAAATCTATCTGAAACTAGTGTAAACAGTACATGTGATTGCTATTGCTTATTTTATCGTCATCGTCATAATCAACAATTAACATGGCAGTGTTTGTTTCAATCATTTTTCTCTATCATCGTCATCATCATCATTATCATCATCACCACTATCATCATCATCATCGTCGTCGTCGTCATAATTATCATCATCATCATGACTACCACAGTATTACATCCTATTGTCACCACCATCAACATCATCATTATCAATACTCAATGTTTTGATCATCATCGTTGTCGCCATCATCATCGTCACGACCACCACCATCACCATCAACATCATCGTTGTCGTCGTCGTCATTATCAGTGTTATTATTCTACCAAATGGACCTTTTAAAATGTTTTCGTGTTCAAGTAGTCAGAGTCAAACTTTGTGGTTGCGGTTTTTTTCTAATGGTCAGATATTGTAAATTTTCATATTAGGACACTTAGTTTTTCTTTATTTTTATAAACTTTATCTTGATCGAGGTGGAAAGAAAACTGCCTATTCATTATCCTCTCTTCACATTCATCGTCAGGTCAAGATGTAAATTGACCATACATTTCTGTAACGTGCTGTGCATTATAAACAGGATAACAATTGAATTACTACTATAAACCAGCACAATGATTTACTTTATACAACGGAGCACCTAAAGTGACATTATTTAAGCTTGTTATTTTATTTTCGTAATTTCAGTTCAACGAATTGTCATCTCGCTGAAACGAAATAAGATTTCCTTTTAAAATAAACAATATAAGACATATTGTCACGCTAATTTAACGGTTGACATATTTACTGATTTTTCTTTAATACAAATTAATTTTTTGTCTAAATGTAAAAAAAAAAAAAATATTTCGTTTAGTATTTGATAGATACGAGCAGTGCGTATTGTGCAATTTTTGTTAAATTTGGTAAACGTGCTGTTAGTGAACGACTTTCATTCAAATTTTTAAATAAAAACTTCACTTTAAAAGAAGCAGCGGGTTCACGTTGTCATTATGTACACATAAAATTGACAGTAAAACTATCTGCTGAAAAGCAATACAATAGTTTCCTTTAACAGTGTAGACTTACACAAATACACATAAAGTTTTCATGTAGTCAAGTGCGATTTGTTGAAAAAATACTTTATTTTGGTCCTCGAATCATCAATGGGGGATATTTTTAATATATATGCATCAGTTTTATTTTTGACCAATGATAATCTACGGTCCATGTGATGAAAGCTCAGTTTGATTGAATTCATTTCTAGTCCGAATCCTATAATTTAGGACTGTGTTGGCTTATGAAGAGTAAACATGGTTGCTATTCCAGTAAGGATCGAAACCATGACCCATAGGTAATCAGGCATACATCTTAACTACTACTGTACAATTAGGTTAAGAGGCACACTCTTAAACTATTGGACAATTAGGTCGAGTGGGACAATTCCCCATTGTGGCTGAGGGTTGAATTTCTTAGCTCCAACAAGTGAGGCGGTTTTGACCCCTGGTGTTGCTTTAAGTTTGTGGCATCCGAGGTTAGCCAAAAACATCTTTCTTGTCTCGGCGCCAAATGACTTAAATTGTGTTTGTGTGCCGTAAAACCAAACAAAACATAACAATACTTGACAATTCCTCTGTTTATATGATGTTTATGTACATGTTTATGTTAGGAATGTGTCCGATGTCATTTCTTGTGGCTTTCAAATTAAAATATTTAGAGTAACCTAACGAAATTTGCATGAAATGTCTTTATTCCAACCAATTAGGCACTAACTAACATGTGTTTATATTCTAGACAGTTGAACAGTTAGTGTTGCTGCGCATATATTTCTTTTTAATAACAAGGAATATGTAGAGATACATGTATAATGTCCTTGTAAACATATAGGGATAAATAAATCTAAACATGTATAATGTTCTTGTAAACATATAGGGATAAATAAATCTAATTAAATCAGCTCCTTAATCTTCTCCTCATTAACGCTACGCTTTAGGATCTGACGACCATCAATACGTTGTTACCATCTCGCGGTCCATCAATTTCTCGATTTTGAAAGCGATGAGGTTTCTAATTTCAACCACTAGAAAACTTATTTTCGCGATTTCGAGAACAAACACGGTATTGTCCATACAGTCGACAGGTAAACAAGCAAAACAATTTTACCCTTTAAAAAGTCTATGATTTCCAGTTTATTTGTATCAAATTACTTTAAACAATTTCTTTTTTTAACAAAAAACAAAAAAATGTTTTGCTTCCACGCATGCTTCGTCTTATGCCTATTTGTAAATGACGGTTTGATTGCTGGTCGCATGCTTTCTCAGGAAATACGAATCACAATGAAGGCGAACCAAATACGGTGGCAATCAGATCTACATGCAATAAATAATTTAAGTAGATCAGAACTTTAATCGGAATGGGAATGAAATAAATTTATCATGCATGTACCTGTGCTCCAAGCTTCCCAGCACGTAATCTTGGAATGTCCGTGTGAGATAATGATGTATTCCAAACTATACGAAGATCATCTCTGAGGTCAACGGAATATACCGAAGCATTCGCATACATTCGATAACGGTACGGTAGATCATTGTGGCTGAAAAAGAATAAAAAATTACCTTTACCATATCATTTTGTAAACAAATGGGACTTCTTTTGGCGTCAGTCTTTATTTTTATTGAAGCAATGAATGTAAAATGTTCTTTTCATCAATGAATGTCATACATGTTTGAATAATACTGAGAAACTGGTTAACTGTTTGTGTAAAAAGATTTGTGCTTTCGGCCACTCTGAACTTCAATATTGACTCGTTTTTAGATCCCCTGCGCCCAAAACATTTCAACTGGTGCTGTGTTATATTTATTTGCTGTCATAAATATTGCACATAAAAACAAGTTTATCAACTAAATGAGCTACTGTTGCTAAAGAAGAGTGCTTCAGAGTATATTTTAGATAACGACCAGGACATCAAATGTGTAATAAATATATCTGTGTAAATACATACATGATGACTGACAAACTTTCACACAGTTATATGATAGTAATAAATTCCAGTTATGTAAATAAACACCAACGAGTTGTTATTCACGAAAAGGTTGAAGTACCCTAAATCATAGATACGGTAAACGAGACACATTAATCGAATCGCATTTCCCTGCTTTGTGATAAATACATTGTCTACACTTGTTTAACTTTGGCTAAATACTTTGTACTATAACTTTAGAAGGTATGCATACCATTTCTTTTTTGGCTATACTTTATTTTCAATATCCGTGGAATATGATAAAACTTTTAAAATTTACGCTGAGTTTGTTTTTATTGCTACAGAAACCCAAGCAGTTCATTGAAACAATTTGAGACAATAAAGCAAATCGAGCAAGTCTTAGATTGTCTGAATTCTATGATAAAGGTTTAGTTATCCTGTTACTCGTATTTCAACTTTTTATTTTCAAGCTGTTTTCTTTACTGAAGGTGGATTGGCCTAGCTTTTATTACGATGTAGTTGTGCTTGTAGGCAACCTTTCTCGGAAAAGAGTCATCAAATATAACCAAAACATTTTACTCAAAGAGTGCACTTAGGTGAAACTCGGGTTTTATTAAAGTCCTTTATATTTTACTCAGGTGCTATCATGTTTCATTAAAACTTACACGAAATGCATTCAAAGATAAGTACATTCTACTCGGATGCCAGCATAGTTCAATACATTTTACTCGAATGGTTACCACACTAGTAATTATATTAGTCATTTTGATTTACAATTTGATGAATAATGTTGACGTCAACCATGACGCCATTTTGTAAAATTTCGTTATTTCGCGGCTGAAGTTTTGTCGCTCCATATTTGGCGTATTATCGCATTAAATGGTAGAAATCAGCCACGCCACCATAGACCCAGAATGTCAAATGTATATGCTAACATACTGTTTTGCGACGCGTTTCTACCATTTAAACTTAAATTAAAATTCTCTTTTAAACGACCATGAATTTATTATGTTTGGGACTAAACATGTATAATAAAGTCCATGCTTGATGAGGTTCAAACCACCCTTTCAGGCACTGAGAATACAGACTTGACTTATTATAATACGGAAGTATACTTTTATAAATATAGTATGGTATACATAGAACTTAGACGCTGTAACTATGAATATATTGGTCATCTAAAATACAAGATTATCAACAAGAACATTTCTTACCCGTCCACAAGCGGATAGCTATCAAGCACGCATTTCGCTTTTTCCACGTTATTTACGGCATACGAGCAATCTGGAACCGGCCAGTAAGAGTTATCGCCCCCATTTTCTCCAGATGGCGTAGTGACGTCTTTAATTCCTTCTGTCGTACCGGAATTATTATCATTATCATTATTTTTGTTGTCCGTCGCCACCAAAGCCACGGCTATAGCTAAAGCTATAACCAGAACAACAAGTATGACAATTGCGGTGTAAAGAAGCCGAGTGTTCATTTTGGAACCGTTTCCTTTACTAAATAGTTTCGTATTAGAATGTACAGTCTCTGAATCGCCGTCCTTCTTATAATGTACTCCTGTCGGTCCAGCTGGATTATCCATGAATTAAACGCTGCAATTAAACAAAACCAAGCACTATCGTATAATTATGACGTAATTCTTTAATATTCATGGGCATGCGCAACATCGGGTCAGCGTGTTGCTTGATAATAAATCTTGGTTATTTTCCAGTCAGCGATTTTAATAACGCATATAATCAAGTAGTAAGTATAAATTTGAAATTTTGAAGTAATATTATTACAGATTATACTTTGTTTGAGTACATTAATCTCCAATTTTCACGCAATTATCTCCCTTTATTCCTCGGAGATCAAGGGAAGTAACCGGTCGGAGGGATTTGGTTACTCTCTACCCCAAGAACATAACTGATTCTCTCAAAAGTTAAAAATCATCCTACTTTATAGAGATTAATCTTTCAAAAAAAAATTTATTAAATTTCAATATAACGATAGATTACTCTTGTTGGAAGCTGAAATCGACAAAAAAAAACAACAACAAAAAAAAAAAAAAAAAAAAAACTTCAGTAAAATATCGTTAGATGCAGTGTTATATGCATCTTATTCTATATTTATCACATGTCATATATTTAAGATGCATAGAAACTTTCTTCAGACGTGTAATTAAACGTTTGAATCAAACGTAATAAATGTTTATATTTATTTCATTAAATTCAGTTGAATGTGTGAATTGCACAGTTGTTATATTTTATTTTTATAATTATGGGATTGTTCTTTTGGTTTATATCATGCAGAGTAGAGTGATATTTAAATTTAATATAAGGTATTAAAATTTAAAAAAAACTGAGCTCACCAATTGGATCGTATATAAGTACAACTACTCAAAACAAACACATTTTTTTCCGAACCCCGCCAATACAAAACACAATGAAAGCAAACAAACGGGGCTGAAAATAAAAACTTAAAAAAAAAATAAATAAATAAGAAAATCGAACTACCTCCTTCCTTTTTATTATTCCTTTTGGATTAAATATATAAATGTACGCAGTATTATGGTAGCGGTTGGACTACGTTTTTGAAAGGTTTAAAGGTATATACTCAATTTTAATTCATCAACAAAATTAAAGTAAGGTATAAGTGTCAACATAACACGAAAATGCCTTTCGTTTATAAATTCGATGTTTAAAAGACAGTCGCACTATTTGTTTTATCTGTATTGCCGTCTACTTCAAATTTATGAATATTTATTTCCATTCTAATCACGTTCTTTTGTTTTGTTATGTAAATTTATTGTAAGACGTTTGACTGGTTAAAACATAGTTCTTTATATACGGTTGCACCGGCTTGGGTTATATGGTTGTACAGCGCTTTATACTTGACCATATAACCATATAACCATATAACCTATCAATATCTTTATGATAATAATAAATCCGTACTTTACGAATAACTCGATAAATAAAACTGTTTTGTATAATTTGTCTCAAACGTGTACATAAAAACACAAATATCTTTGTCTCTTGTATATAAAAGGTCGCGAAAATATACCATAAACGGCGTTTTATGCTTCACTAGCTTTGAAAAGACATTTCTGCTATTTCCTTAATTCGCATGAAAATGATAAGTATACTGAGGTGTAATGCTTAGATATGTCAAAAACAAACAAACAACAAAACAAAAAAACAACAAAAAAAACAAAAAACAAACAAACAAACAAATACAAGTTTTCAAAGTTATTTCACCATTCAGAACAAAAGTTCTGTTTCATTTATTTATTTATTTATTTATTTATTTATTTATGTATGTATGTATGTATGTATTTTTGCGTTTTTTGTTGGTTTTGTTTTGCTTTGTTTTGTTGATTTCTGTTTGCTATACTGTCATGAATTCCGAAATATGACCATAAAGGTAGACAAATCAAAATTGTATTTTAATTGTTCAATTTTCATTTAATTAAGTGTTTTAGATATTTTGAGCCTCTTGTTCAGTTATGTCGGAAAAGTGAAAAATTAAACGTGTGATTTATGCGTTTTCAACAATTTTAATAGAAAGGAAGGTCTTCCCTCTTTTTCATACTTGTTATATTTATTCACATAATCTTCATAACCGCACATTTGTTTGAAATTCTTTTTTTTTTTTTTCGTAAAACATATCGTAAACACTCATGATTTATTATTTAACATTAAATATCTAAACGCAGTGAAGGTCAAACAATTTAAGAGTATTTTCCATTTATATAATTTGAACTGAACGAGATAAACCATAAACCTACCAAATTTGTGTAATGGATTTGCCCTGTTTTGAATTTAGAACATTCCATTCAAAGTTTTAGGGATTCGTTAAAGGGGTTGCAATATTAAATAAAACTTTGAGCTGCCATCAGTATCGAGCCTTAACAGGCTGTCCTTGCGACCTTGACTTTATACTATCGACAAGGACCAATCACTTTTTAAAAAAATACCGATAACTTGTCTTAAAGCACTTGGTATTTAAACAACACCTTTGCGTTAATATAACATGCGCATCAATGCGCATCAATTAATTAGGACATGTACGTGCATGTAAACAATATCGTAATGCGTAACGACAATGTCTCTTTATCTCTGACACACTTAATTATTATAATTTATTCATAGTCAAATAGAATATAACTAAATTACAATATAGCGTACCAAATACTCAAGTACATCTGTGGTGCTTGTCTTTCGCACGGTGACTCATCTCTGAATCTCTGAATGATTTATTTTATAACATGTCTCTGTGCTGTAAGTTTTTCTCACATCTTCGAATACATGGAACCAACTAGTACTGACAATCGGAATGTCCTCGGCTATTATCTATAATAACATCGGAAACAATACGGAGTGAAAGTAGTTCTACCGATAAACATAATATAAATTGAATGTACATATAATTTACATCCAAAAGAAAATTAAATCTGTTTAAGTAAAAATATGACCACTGATGTACAATTTTAAACAAATGCGACTAAATGTCAACAGGTTGGCATTTTGTACTTTCGGTTCTTGCAACCATAATAATAGATTAATAATAGATATACAAATAATGTATTGCTTGCTTTTGTATCTATGAATTCACTTATTTTAGGTTGGCATTTACTTGATGTATTGGAAATAAACTTGTCAACAACTATCAGCATTAAATTACTATTTGCTTACATGTCTGGTTTCTTAGCGTTGGTTAGACCAAAATACCGTATCCTTTCTGTTCCTTATCCGAATACTGACGGAAAGGGCCGAAAAGTTGCGCAATGAGTGTAAAGTTTCTTGCTCAAGGAAACAACGATTTGCCTCTGACGGGGTTTGAACAGTACGGTTATTGTTTGCAGGGTTTTTCAAATTGACGATATACTCGTACATGTATAATATTCTTGTCGTACAAATGACGTAATCATTAATTTGCTTATCCCAGTTATAATAACAACCAAATAAAAAATAATTACATGTACAGCATAACACAAAAATATTCCAATGCCTATCGTACTCAAAAATAATAAATTATTTAAATTGTAGAAACGGTCTGTATGTTTAAAGCAGCGTTATAATTTTTCGTTGTTGGAAAAAGAAAGATTTACAGGAGCAATGAAACGTTTAATATGGAACGCCGTTATTGCCTTGTGTAGAGGTATTTCAATATGTCTTATTCTCTGGGTATCAAATACCGTTGATATATAACAATGCCTTACAGATGAGTTGCTCTTTGATATAGAATTTGAAATGGGGGGGGGGGGGTGAGTTGGTGGTTTGGTGCGCGCGTGTAACGATGAAATGTAAATGTTCAAGTTAGACAAATAAATTTTCTGTTTTGTTCTGTTTTATGATAGAAATTGTAAATACGCTACTCTGTAAGTTTTTTGTGTGTTTCAATGTGCTAATTTATTTCAATTCTACATTAAAATTTAACAGAGTGCATAATAAATAGATAGATAATTAAATGAACGAATTAATGAATGAATGAATGATTTATATGTTATATATGTTGGTCATTCAAATATTGAAATACAGTGTAATGCACTGAATTAACGCTTAGAACTAACGTAATTCCAACATTTTTAATATACTCGGGTTATTAAGGAACTGATATCACAGAAAATAACAATATACATGTACGCATTTTTGTATATAAATCGACATCTTGCTTTTTGCCTGCTACTTTCATTGAAGTCATTTAATGAAAAAAGTACAAAGTACAAAATCATAAAAAAATAAAAACATGCCATTCTAAAAAGTCATATCAAAAGGTATTAACTACTTCATCCTTATCTTACCTTAAATTATTTAAACTTAACAAATATCTAAATGAGCGCTTCATATATATACACACACAACATTGTCTTTAAGACATGAAATAGAAAGAGCATGGAAACACGAGACTTTCTGATTTTTTTTATAGGGGATGTAGCCCCCGAGTGTAATGTTAGATTACCAAGTGTTTTTTTTTTCTTTTGTATCTTAGGCAAAAATTAAAACACTTTCCTGGTTGTCACAATATGAAACCCAGAATAAAGGAACCAATTTACGAGCATTTGATTATTTTTTTACTATCATCATCTCTTTCCCTGTCGTCATATTAAGTAAACCCCAGAAAGAATGAGCCAATCAATAGACATGCTCTGGAGTATGGTTAATTAATACCTGCACTCAAGTTAACGCACTGTGCATGTATATACGATTTAACTCAGAGTCTGACACATTTTCAACAGAAAAGGTCCCCAAACTATGATACAAGTTAATAAACCTGACGTACATAGCCTAATCTAACGTCAATTGGTATTATTGGTCAATAATATTTTGTGTGCAATATTTCCCAGGGGCGAGTAATTTATTTAGACTTAAAAAAACGTAATGTTCGTGTTCTCTCCCCTGGCCGCTCACATTAAAAGCTAGTATGCTACTTGGTAGTCTTCATTTGGTAAACATTTTAGCTGGGCATAAAGTACATTTTGTTATGATAAAAATCAATGAAGATTAACTCTTGGAGTAATAATGCATCATGTAAAAATACATTAAAATGTTGGTTCGGTATGATAGAAAAATAACACATGTCTCTCGGGGTAAAAGTGCATATTAAGACCCGAGAACAGAAATGTTACCTTGAGAGACATTTGTTAGTTATATATTACACATATACACGTATAGTAACGTTTAAATTTGTGTGAAATGTTCATCCATCAGGACCCAATAAATTTACAGAAGCATCCATGGTTGCACCTCATGCTACTTTTATGCACGTGTCATTTCAAATCAGAAACTGACCGATTTTATTCAACACGAAAATCAGTGTTATCTATGTATTCCAACAAGCTTTATACAGTAACACTTCATTTCTTTTGTAATAATAAGAAGTTCGGCGCAAATTTACGTGTCGGATTTTCAATGGCCTACCTTATGCATGCAAATGGCGAGCGCACAACTGGAATTCCATGATAGTCATACCACGTTTCAGTGATAACTTTGAGCAGAAAGAAGCCAATCAAGTCCTGTTTAAAATTGGAGAATGAAATCTAACGCCATTTTTATGAAAAACGGTTTTTAAGGTATTGTATAAGAACCGTCTTCGTATGTCAATCTGTTAAATTTCTTTTAAGTGCATATTGAGCATTTAAAATCATATTAAATGATAAGAAGCAGAGTTACGGTACTTTTTAAAACTTTTAATACATGTTTAACATTGAAATATTCTATAATTTGCACTCCTTTTAAATCTAGATTTAGATTTTAAGCAAAGGAAAGCAACTCTTAAATTGATAAAGTAATTTTCATCTGTTGTATTGCCGCTCTTGTTTTCCGTCACGCGTACAAATAAAAAGTAAGAACAGTGTGTATGTAAATACAATGTTAAATTTAATGTTCTATATATGTATGTTTTATACGAATAACTAGCCTTATGCAAACGTACATAGAAGTTTATTGATACATTGTATTGTACATGTATTTCTATATGTGTATTGTACGTATATATTAGTTGTCGTGTAAATGTGCATAGATGTATTATTGATACATTTCTTTGTGCATTATATGTATAATAGGTAAAGTAACACAATGCTTATAAATGCTATAAATTCATACACTGATCTTACTTGTATCATGTTTAAAGCATTATATGCGTTCAAATGTATAGTTTAAAAGTAACATTCCTTTTATCTGTATAATTCAAATGTTTGTGTCATATTACTATTGTAATAAATCAAA